TCCTAGCACTTTGGGAGGCCGGGATAGATGGATCACTTGAGGTCAGGTGTTTGAGACCAGACTGGCCAATATGGCAAAACCCATCTCTACTAAAAATACAAAAATTAGCCAGCGTGGTGGCGGGTGCCTGTAATCCCAGCTACTGGGGAGGCTGAGACAGGAGAATTGCTTGAACCTGGGAGGCGAAGGTTATAGTGAGCTGAGATTGTGCTACTGCACTCCAGCCTGGGTGACAGAGCGAGACTCTGTCTCAAAATAAACAAATAAATAAAAGCTTTTATTTTGAACCAGGAAATGACTTACCCACACACATAATTTTCTGTTTTAGAATAGTTTTAGATATACAGAAAAACTTTGTAGATGAGATAGTTTTCACGTGGCCCATACCCAGTTTGCCTTACTATTAGCATACTTTATCAATATGGTACATTTCTCACAATTAACGAACCAAGATTCATACATGACTATTAACTAAAGTCCCTACTTTATTCAGATTTCCATATTTTTAATGTGTTTTAACTTGCATACCGGGATCTGAGTGGCTCAAACTACTGGTGTGCACCACCACATTCAGGTAATTTTTAAATTTTTTGTAGAGATGGGGTCTCACTATGTTGCCGAGGCTGGTTTCCAACTCCTGGGCCCAAGCCATCCTCCCACCTCAGCCTCCTAAAGTGCTGGGATTACAGGTGTGAGCTACTGCGTCCAGCTTCCAGCAATTTTATGTTTTTAAGCTGCACACGAACAGAGGTAAAGATGAAAAGAGGATACAGTGCAAAACGTAAAAGACAAACACTGCGTGTAGTTACAGTTTCCCTTCACTTGGCCCCCTAATTCCCCACCCAGGATTACCACAGGTAGTCAGTTTATTGCACCCTCTAGGGAGATAGCTTAGACATTTACAAACATGCACAAATATATATATTTTTTGTTTTCCTTTTTGTTCCCAAATGGTAATTTACTAGATGCACTTACTTGGAATCTTGAGGTTTTTTGTGTGTTTACTTTTTAATTTGTTTATTTTAGAGATGAGAGTCTCACTGTGTTGGCCAGGCTGGTCTCAAACTTGTGGGTTCACGCGATCCTCCGGCCTCGGCCTCCCAAAATGCTGGGATTACAGGTGTGAGCCACGACGCCCAGCCGGTTATTTTTGGTATTTATTTCTTTATTAGATTAGATTTGATTTTAGATGCCGGGGGTCCATGTGCATGTTTGTTTCGTGGGTGTACCGGGTACTGGTGGGGACTGCGCTCCCAGTGCGCCCGTGCTATTGTTATTTTTCAAGCGCAGCGAGACAGCCGGGAGGTCGCTGCTTGTTGCCGCCGCTGGATGGAGCCTTGCGGGATCGCCGGGTTCCACAGCCCCTCTCTGGTCCCTGAACTCTGCTCCTCGCGGGGTCCAGCCGGCGGCGGGCGTGGGAAGGGCAGCTTCGGCGCCCCGCCCCGGCCTCTGTGATGTCAGCGCCGGAACCTGGAATCCCGGCTCAGAGAGGGAAGGTCGGGGACGCGGCAGCAGCAGCGGTGGCGGCGGCGGGAGCGGATCCCCGGCGGCCTCAGGAGCGCGGGGCGCAGCCATGAGCGAGTCCAGCTCCAGTGCGCTCCCGCCCGGCAGGCCCAGCCGGCAACTGGCGGCCCACCCAGGTAGGGCGGCGGGGAGCGCGCGCGGGGACGGTGCCCCCGGGGTCCGAGGGCGCACGGAGGGAGCTAGGTCCTGGAGGCTCGGCCCGGCGGCTGTCCCCTCCCACCTCCGGCGCTGGGTGCTCCAGGCTCTGGGGAGCAGCAGGTGGGAAGGGGGGTCTTCCTTATCCTGCTTTCTCCTCCAATGCGTCCTCACCCAATCCAGAGGGAGCCAGCGGGGCCAAAAGGAGCGCTGGAAAGGTAGTTCGGACCGTGGTGGATTTGTCTTCCAGTTGACCAAGAGACCCCGGGACAGTCTTTCAACAGCCTCATCTGTTAAATGAAACGATTGCGGGTACCCCTCCACGCCTAACATTCTGCTACGAGGTGCCTGCCTCGCAGACATTTCAGGCTTCACCTATATACAGTTAGAACAACTTGAAACCGAATCCTGCCTTGTCTGTTAGTTGCTGTGGGACCTTTGGTAAGTGGCTTGCCTTCTCTGAGCCTCAGCTCCTTCAGCAGTAAAATGGGAATAAGATGGTGCTGGGATTAGCTGAGAACCGTGTGCTGTGTCTAGCAGTACCTGGCATTGTGGATAGACAGACATCATAAATGGCAGCCGGCCAAACATTATAATCTTTTGCATTGGGTAGCATTTACAGTAAAGTATACAGCTCCATGGATTTCTACATAAGTATGTACAACGGCTGCCCTGTCAAGATAGACAAGCTACCAGCACTCAGGCAGGCTTCCCTGTAGCATTTGGAGCTTACGAATCTTGTACTGAACAAGACACAAGACCCTGCTGTAACGTTTTATCTGTAACGTTTTATCTTTTTCAATTTTAGAATAGAGATTTAATAAAACTGGGCATTGCGCCCTTCAAATTGGATTGTTCCCAATGTCTAGAAGAAAAAACTTAGAAGAGACCCAAACCAGAAAACAAAAGTTGGGCTGGGTTCAACGCAAATTATTTTCTAGCTCAGTATGAATACTGCTGGTGCCAGCTGAATTTCAGCCTTTCGATAGTAGCTAGCCAGGTATTTTTCTACTTGGTTTCTATTGATCGCCATCTTATTTTAATGGAATCCATTACATTGAAGATGTCAAGTTCCTCATTTCCCATCTAAGGAGTGTGACATTTATCTTTCTTGAATCTCTGTTAAGTGTTTAAGGGGACTTTTGGCATTTTTAAAGGACTATAATTGGCCCCTCTAACTAAAAAGTCTCCTATGCCCCTTAGATAGATGAATTTTTATTTTTGTTTTTATTTTTTGAGATGGAGTTTCGCTCTTGTTGCCCAGGCTGGAGTGCAGTGGCTGCGATCTCGGCTGACTGCAACCTCCGCCTCCCCCGGTCAAGCGATTCTCCTGCCTCAGCCTCCTGGGTAGCTGGGACTACAGGCACCCACCACAACACCTGGCTAATTTTTTGTATTTTTAGTGGAGACAGAGTTTCACCATGTTGGCCACGCTGGTCTTGAACTCCTGACCTCAGGTGATATGCCCTCCTTGGCCTCCCAAAGTGCTAGGATTACAGGCGTGAGCCACTGCACCCACCTAATAGATGAGATTTTTTTTTTTTTTTTGACCTTGTACCCACCAAGGTTGGTGGGAGGCTCAGAAAGGACTGTGTTGGTAACTTTGTAGCACTTTCTAAATAGTGACCTGTTGTATGTTGTTATAGGACAGACCCTGGGGTAGGGCGGGGGATGGGGGAGGTGACAAAGAGGTCTGGTTTAAAGAATGAGAAGTGGCAGGGCGTGGTGGCTCACGCTTGTAATCCAAGCACTTTGGAGGCCAAGGCGGGCGGATCACCTGAGGTCGGGAGTTCAAGACCAGCCTGACCAACATGGTGAAACCCCGTCTTAAAAAATAAGAATAATAAAATAAAGAAAAAAAAAAGAATGAGAAGTGTGATCAGGCATGGTGACTCATGCCTGTAATCCTAGCACTTTGGGAGGCAGCAGTAAAATGGGAATAGGATCGTGCTGGGATTAGTTTATTCTTTGAAAGCTCTTACCACCAACTGAAGTCATCTGGTTTGGTTGTTTCCTTGTTTAGTAGCAGT